GAATTCGAATGGGAAAACAAAGTTAGTCCTTGGGAGATTTCCTTGAACTCCTTATCTGCCTTTTTGGCTAGTGTTGAGGAATTCTCTGATAAAAGTAGTCCCACTAAAAAGTGTCAGATGTAAGAAGCAGTTTCTCAATATCTATTCTTGCAAATTAGCCTTAACCAGAAATTATGCGAGTAGTTTGGTAAGTTGTTATAAACTGATGAGAGAGGCAGTTGTATGATTAGTCTGATTGATCAAGACATTAAAGACCATATTCCATCCCTTGGATGTATGAGTAATAATTTACTATTGAATCCAGTGTCCAGAAGAGGTTTTACAAAGTCAGTGGCCTTGATCTTTATTAGAAATATTTTATATGCAGCATGTTGATCTTTTATGAAGTAATCTATGTATGAAAATTCTGATACCAACTTGCAGTTTGTTGGATTTTGTAGATGTCATTTAGTTGTTTTTTTGCCCACCTTCCCCACTATATACTTGGAAGGAGGTTCCGTATAATATGAGTCTGTTTTCTCAACCCTAAGATCAGAAATACGCAACTTTCTCATTATAAGGATTATGATCTCCTTGACTTTTTTCTCCTTCTGTACAGGTGACGGTTAACACAAATATAATTGATTTAAATGACTACCTACAGCATATATTAAAGTCAACTAACATGAAATGCCTCACTCCAGAGAAGGTAAAATTTGAGAACTTCTTAAACTGATAGAGAGTAGTATGGCAGATTCCTGGCTTGTATTTCCTTTAGTGTATTTTTGTTATTGTTCAGCATAAGAAAAGCAGTGTCATTCTGGACTAGCTAAAAGAAATTATCCCATAGAATGCATCAATCTGCTTACCTCTTTGTACCAGAATATACCAGCCTGCTTGTTCCTAGTACAGTGACCCAATTGAATAGTTAGATTCATTTTTCTTTTCACTCTTCTCCCTTTCAGCAAAGGCTCATTCCAAAATAGGTTTTGATACTGGATTAAAAAAGTCCATGACCTCTTCTCTTGGTTCTGATTGTGGGTCAATATATTTGTTCAAATACAGAATTTTCTAAGTTCTGTATACATGAAAAAAGAATAGGAAGAAAGAAAAATGAAGCTGAGGCTCTAAGGAATTTCTTTGTGGAATTCCTGCTAATGTTATAATACTAATTTTATCAGTAAATTTCTGCCAGACAAATGGGTTTTAATTCATATATTAGTTTACTCAACAAATAGTCTAACAAATACACAAACAAATATCATACGCCCAGTACTCTGTGAGCTTCTGGATATATAGTAATGAAGAAAATAAAAATTGTCTCTCCTTCATGGAGCTTAAGGTCTGGTGCAGACAACTCTGTAACTAAATAGGGAATGTATATATACAAATTGGAATAAGTGCTATTTCTTTAAATACAGTCACTTTTATTAAGATATAACATAGACACAGTAACATTCACACTTTTTACATATATAGTTCCGTGAGTTTTGACATTTATTTAGTCATATAACCACCACCACATGGTAAGTCCTATTTTAAATGATAATTTATATATGCTGGTGGGTCTTGCTTATGTGTCATTCTCTAGTGAAGTATTGAATATATCATAAATTTCTTCCAGGCTCTTTCTGGTTACTGTGGCTTTATGGCAGCCAACCTGTATGCTCGTTCCATATTTGGAGAAGATGCACTTGCAAATGTCAGCATTGAGAAGCCAATTCAACAGGGCCCAGAGGCCCCGGTTACTGGCCACATAAGAATTCGTGCCAAGAGTCAGGTAACAATTGGGTGTTACCCAATTTTGGGAGGGGGGTTGTGTTTTGTTTTTGGTTTTGAGATCATCTCTGAACTGAACAAAAAGGAAGAATTTATTTCTTCATTATTTTTATATGTAGTATTCTCTGTCATACTTGTATTTTGTGCATTAGATGCATATATGTAATAATAGTATTCTCTGAATAGAAATAGAACTTTTGCTTCATTAAAATGGCCCACTTTTTTGGGCCTGTCACTCTGGATTATTTGCCTAAAACAAGATTGATTCCTGTAGGGTGTTTGTGAAATGGGTTCTGTAGAGTTTTTTGAAATCTAAACTACAAATCCAGTGACTAATTGTAAATCTAGCACTAAAAGTACTTAACAAAGTAAAGTTTTGGTGAGTCTGGTTTCATTATTGATGTGGTGTCATTGAATGAGGGCTTGGTTAAGATACAGAAACCTACTGGTTTTATATAGATTTAATAATTATAAACATTTTCATTCTTCCTTACAGGGAATGGCCTTAAGTCTTGGAGATAAAATCAACTTGTCTCAGAAGAAAACTAGTATATAAGAATAAACAAAAAGTCCTTGCAGCTTTACAGTTCAAATTTAGGTATGGGCTTATTGGACTCCAACATCTTTTGTACTCTTTCATGCTTTATGTTATATAGAATCTGAGTTCATGCTGAACGCATTCCAGCCAATAATTTATAGCCTTTCCCTTAAATCAAGATTGAGTTTAAAATTATAGTTTGTCTTTTGTCTTAACAGTTCTGAATGCTGTCCTCAAAGTATATAATGTTTCTCACATGTACCAAGACCATTTTCACAGTACAATAAACAGATCTATTCCTAAATCTTTTGTTATTTTATAAATAAATATATAATTACCTAATTTTAGTTATGTAGCAATGGATTTCTTTTAGTTGGGTTATAGGTTTCTATCATAAATTTAAATCACTCTGAGTTGTGCATATACAAACTTTGTTAAGAGAATTTACAAATTCAATGGTATGAAATGAGACAGACCTTGATTTACTTGATTGACTTTTACTTATTTATTATTTTGACATCAATATCTCTAAAAATCCCTTATTGTGTTCTAAGAGCTTTTCTCTGGAATTGAGCTCTAGGAGGAAAGTATCAAATAACTTGAGAAAACAGATCCATCTCCAGTTTAAAAGAGTATTATGAACCCTGGCTTAAATAAACATACTCTTCTTAATTATCCTGAATCATAATGAAAAGTAATAATCCAAAGTAGATCTTTTAATCATTCACATTTAGCTCGGAGTCTTATTTTATGTTTGTGGAATTATATTGGCCGCAGCCAGTTACTGAGGCTGCGCTGGGAGGATTCCACTCTTGGGGGATTCAGAGAGCTGTGCTGTGCCCCTGTCTCCCCCAAGCCTTACCCACCCTCCCCTTTCCTTCCTTTACTCCAGCACTTGGCCACCCTCGCCTCTCAGTACGATTCCATGTGGCTTTCTGGGCTGAGCTCCTTAGAGTCTGATTGTGCTGTCCTTTTGGCCCTTGCCTCCCTTGGGGATGATTGAGGTAGTCTGTCTTTTAGCTAAGTCAACATTGAGCGATTATGCTTTGTCTTTCAGCGAGGCTTCAGGCTCCAGTCAGGATGTGTCCACAGATAAGGTCTGTGAAAGAGTGAAAGCAGCATCTCCTATTTCAGCACTTGAGTGAGAGTGGAATGATTTGTTCGGAGTATAAAGGAGATTGATACCTTGTATGATGTCATAAACTCTGAAGCCACTTGCTTTTTTAATCCGAAAGAACCAGAGGATTACAAGGCATTTGAGATTCCACAGCACTGAGATCTCAAAGCCAAGTCAGTGGCTCCCAGTGGGGAAGATACTAGGAATGCAGGAAAGGGGTCAGTTGGATGCATTAAGTCCAGTACTAGAGATTTATGATGAGAGCAGAGGAACTGAGGAAACTTTGGATTAGATCATTTCCCAAACTGTTCCATTGAACATTAGCTCCCTTGATGTCATTAGATATTCTGGGAGAAAAAGGATTCCATAGTCAAGTAGTTTGGGAAAAACTTCATACTGTCCTGTACTAGAGGTTCACCATGTACATTAGCATACTAGAAATTCTGAGAGGTCTTTCGGTAAAGAAGCAGATTAGTTTGGTTTAACCCAGTATATCTTTTTTTTTTTTTTTTTTTTTAAGATTTTATTTATTTGACAGAGAGAGACACAGTGAGAGAGGGAACACAAGCAGGGGGAGTGAGAGAGGGAGAAGCAGGCCTCCTGCCGAGCAGGGAGCCCGATGCGGGGCTCGATCCCAGGACTCCAGGATCATGACCTGAGCCGAAGGCAGACGCTTAACGACTGAGCCACCCAGGCGCCCCTAACCCAGTATATCTTCATCTTACTTGGCCAGGGAATCCGTTTTCATAGAATACCTATAGATGGTATTATAGGACAGGAAAAGTGACTTAGCATGTTAAAGATTTTGGTTTTATATTCACAAGCAACCAGTGTTGCATTTAAAATCTCAAGGAATTATGTCTCAACATCTACATCTAGAATCTCTCTCTTGATACTCTCAGAAAATTGCCTAACATACTCCAGCTGTTGTTGGTGGGACAGATGGCTCACGTTGCCATTTTCTTAAATTCATAAATAAGGAAACAGAGAGAAAGAAATTAACACAGATGTCAGATATCTATACTACATTAAGCTGTTGACTTCATTAGCATTTTCTTTAGCTTTGTGCAATTAATAAATGTAAACTGAATTGGATAGCTTACAGAAGCTGTTTTACACTGTACTCTTTTAATTAGGATATAATACATATTTAAAGGTTGTGGTTGCTTATATTAAGGATATCATATAATTAGGACCATGATGTGTGGTAAGAGAATAAACATAGTATCTGACACCAAGTGAGGGCTTAATACTATAAAGGTATTGAATGAATAAACCTGTAAATCTTAGAATTAAATGGCCCTTGTATTTCGCTATCATGACACTAGAGGGAGCTCTTAGAGCTCCTAGGAAAGAAGTTACTTTGATTTGGGATTAGAAGTGATTGGAGTTTAAAGTTGTTTTTGTAAGAAGGAAAAACAAGGTAATTTTTCTATTAGCCAGGAGATTATACTAGTGCTATTCTGCTATCTGTGAGGAACTTTCCTACATGATTTATAAATAATAAGGTGGTAAAACTCCTTTCACAATACCTAAAAAGACAAGAGAGCCACCATGTTTTAGAAACTAAATAGTATCGGGGTGCCTGGGTGGTTCAGTCATTAAGCGTCTGCCTTCGGCTCAGGTCATGATCCCAGGGTTCTGGGATCGAGCCCCGCATCGGGCTCCCTGCTCCGCGGGAGGCCTGCTTCTCCCTCTCCCACTCCCCCTGCTTGTGTGTGCGCTCTCTCTCTCTCTGACAAATAAAATCTTTAAAAAAAAATTTAAAAGAAACTAAATAGTATCAGAAGTGAAGTAACTGTGCTATATATTGGGTAAAGTAAGTATTTTCCTGGTGACTTTTTCCTTCCACATTGGTAAATGTTCTTTAGCTAATAATTTATAGCCTTTCCCTTAATTAAATCAAGATTTAGTTTAAGATTATACTTTCTTTTAACAATTCTAAATACTGTCCTCAAAGTAGGGTCAGGCCTATCAGCTGCATGTCTTAGCTGCCATCACCCATACTCTCCACACACCATTACTGTTCCTTGTCTCTGCCCCTGAGCTTCGCTCTCCACCCCCAGGATCTCAGGAGCCTAAAGGTGGGACCAGGTTACAGCACAGTAGGTACAGTACAGTTTAGTTGAGTTTCGTTCAGCTTAGAATCAGAAAAATGTGGAACCCTGTATTCTACTTACTTGCTGGGTGGTCTTAGGCAATGATGAATAGCTGGTTCATGGAGTGCTTATTTGTGCCGGGCATAACAGTCCGTGCTCTTTCCATGACGTACATAATCCTCCCAGTGGCTCTGAGGAAGTACTGTTAATATCATCATTTATAGGTGATTACAATCTTAGGAGAGGGTAAGTTACACTATTAATAAAGGCCTAATAGGAAGACTTGACCCCAGATATAAAGCCAGGGTGTCAGACAGTAAGTCCCTACGGCTAGTCACACCCTGCCACCACTGCCTACTCTCTTTGTGCCTCAGTTTCCTCAGTTGTAAGGTGCTTATAATGTCTATGTCACAGAGTTGAGGGAGGATGAAATTAAATAATGTGTCAATTGTGGATATTTCGCACCGAGCACATGCTCATCGGGAAGTCTTTTTTTTTTTCTTTTTTTTTTTAATTTTTAATTTTATTACGTTAGTCACCATACAATACATCATTGGTTTTTGATGTGGTGATCCACGATCCATTGTTTTCATATAACACCTAGTGCTCCATGCAGTACGTGCCCTCCTTAATACCCATCACCGAGCTAACCAATCCCCCCTACCCCCTCCCCTCTAAAACCCTGTTTGTTTCTCAGGTCCGTAGTCTCTCATGGTTCATCTCTCCCTCCAATTCCCCCCCCCTCCATTTTTCCCTTCCTTCTCCTAATGTCCTCCATGATATTCCTTATGTTCCACAAATAAGTGAAACCATATGATAATTGACTTTCTCTGCTTGACTTATTTCACTTAGCATAATCTCCTCCAGTCCCATCCATGTTGATGTAAAAGTTGGGTATTCATCTTTTCTGATGGCTGAGTAATATTCCATTGTATATATGGACCACATCTTCTTTATCCATTCGTCTGTTGAAGGGCATCTCGGCTCTTTCCACAGTTTGGCTCTTGCGGACATTGCTGCTATGAACATTGGGGTGCATATGGCCCTTCTTTTCACTACCTCTGTGTCTTTGGGGTAAATACCCAGGAGTGCAATTGCTGGGTCATGGGGTAGCTCTATTTTTAAATTTTTGAGGAGCCTCCACACTGTTTTCCAAAGTGGCTGCACCACCTTGCGTTCCCACCAACAGTGTAAGAGGGTTCCCCTTTCTCCACAACCTCTCCAACATTTGTTGTTTCTTTCCCTGTCCATTTTTGACATTCTAACTGGTGTAAGGTGGTATCTCAATGTGGCTTTGATTTGGATTTCCCTGATGGCTAATGATGATGAACATTTTTTCATGTGTCTGTTAGCCATTTGTATGTCTTCTTCAGAGAAGTGTCTGTTCATCTCTTCTGCCCACTTTTTGACTTGATTATTTGTTTTTTGGGTGTTGAGTTTGAGAAGTTCTTTATAGATTTTGGATACCAGCCCTTTATCTGTAGTGTCATTTGCAAATATCTTCTCCCATTCTGTGGGTTGCCTCTTTGTTTTGTTGACTGTTTCCTTTGCTGTGCAGAAGCTTTTTATCTTGATTACATTTCTTTCCCCATTCCCCTTTCTTCCTTACACCTGCAGAGAAGATGGAAACCTACTCTCACTCTCTTCATACCTCCCTCTGAATTTAGGTCCTAATTCTATACTTGATTGCTTTTGTTTTTTTAACAGCAGTAACTTAAAAAGAATCTTCATTTCTCAAGAATTCTTTAAGTGAGGTATCATTGGCCCTCAACTTTATGACTTTTCTTTGTCCTATCAATTTTTTAATTAGCTCTTGGCACTTCTGCTTATCAATGTTGTTACCACAGCTAATGTGACTGTCACACCCATATACCTCATATGATAAATGACCTGTGGTGAATGTGCTGGTTTTATTTGCTTTCAGAATGACTAGTTCTTTAAAAATTGAGCACAGAGATATGTGCAGCCAGGTTACAGTAACAACGTGATAGAGTCACTCACTGATCAAGTCATTTCTGGCAGTCTGACCATTTTCTCTTTATTTTCTCCACCTCGCTAATGGCAGGATCTCTTTGATTAAGAAGTCAGTTATGCAGTGACAAAAGAATGCAAGTGGGATTTGTGCCTTTTATCTGGGCTTCTGTGTATAACTGGGATTCTGAGAAAACGACTCTGTATGTCTTTTTGAATAATTGTAAAACCAGCAAGATTTACCAGTGGAATGCAGCATGGTGGGCTGAGATAGTCCTGAATGAGTCTTTTTAAATCTAATCTCAATTTTCTATGTAATTTTCTGAAAGTAGAGATATATCTGTGTGGCCTACCTCCTTATCTGTAAAATGAATAATCCAGTTAGCTGACCTTCAGCATTCCCAGCTGAAAAAATTCATACTAAAAAGCCTTGTGTTTTTACAGCTACCTCTTCAACAAATTATATAATCAACTGGGATATCTCCTGGATATTACCTACAGGCAACTTAAAATTAACATTGTGAAATGAACATCTCTTGCCCCTCAAACTTGTTCCTCTACTGTGTTTTCTGTCTGGTCACTTATGCTCAAAACCCAGTGGTCACCTTACCTCTTCCTTCACCCCCTGTATCTCATGAGGCACCAAGTCCCATGTTCTTCCTTCCTCAGTACTTTTCTCCATCTTTGTTTTTTCCCACTCCTACAACCATTGCCCCAATTTAGACTCTTGTCATCTTTAGCCTAGTGTCCTGCAGTGGCCTAACCATAAATTTTACATATAATTCTATAATTAAAGCCTCCACTTTAATCTTGACCACATACGACAGTAGCTATACAATTCCTTGACCTATTCAGACTCTTCCCTGGTAATAGTATTTTGAGAGACCTACCTGAAAAAAAGAAGAAGTCCAAAGATTTTAATAATAGTATTTTCAATAATGAAAACAATTGGGATACCCCAAAATGAGTATTAACGAGCAAATGGTGTAAATTATATATAGTGTGTATCAGAATAATCACTAGATAGTAGATGCTCAATAAATTCTTACTGAGTGACCAAATGAATGAGGCCTGGAGCTATAAAGATAACAGGGTGTGGATTAAATCACACCATTGACATGTCTATGAAATAATGTTAGCTGGGGAAAAAAAGATACTGCTCTGTAAGAATGTTTCCTGCATTCAGATGAATCAGGATATATTATAGATACACTGCCTATCAAGTGAATTGGAAACCAAAATCACATCTGTCCTATCACTAATACATCTTAAAAATACATGCCGTCTACCCACTCAGGACCCTGGGTGTGGCTAAGATACTTCATTGGCCAGAGTCCCTGAGTCCAGCTCTTGTGGATTTTTAGATCTGTGATCTTGATCTCTTGGGCTTCTAAGTGGCTGAAAGCTCAGCTTCTTCTGGGCCCACCCAGAGAGCTGGCATCCCCTTCTAAGTAAGCACTATGTTCTCTTCTAAGAGGGTGGGGACTGAATCACCATACAGGACTTCACCAGCCAAGGCAGGGGGAGAACGCCTATCTGGCTCAAGGAGTCTGGGAAAATTAACTAAACTCTGCTAAGCTATGTAAACCATTCCTTAAAGCCCAACAACATTAAAAAGTAAACTGAATTAATCATAATCAAAATTTTCTCTAGGAAGTTGTTTAAGGTCAGACTTTTTTTTCAATGACCCTGTGCTTTGAGTAAAGGCATGTTACTCATGCCTTGAGTGAAGGTATGACAGTTGAGAACATGGTTTTCAAACTCTGCTAGGACACTAGGATTCCACAGGCTAGACCAGTATGTTCCCACAGCTAACATCAAATAATGGTGGTCTTTTTCTTAGGTCCAAGAAAAGTTGGTAGAAAGAGTTTTGTCAATGGTACATTTTTTTCTCCATAAACGTTTTTAATACGTTAATACCTGCTACCTAATTTAAAAAGTAATAAGGAAGCCTTATGGGATTATTTGGCTAGCTGAGTGTTCTTGGTCTAATAGCTTGTCTTGTGGCCCACTTGTTCCCCTGCTGGTTTAATATTGCATACATACATTTTTTGCTAGTAAGCTGCTCCTTGTTCATCAAACTGAATTGAATGTGTTACTGTCATGGGGTCAGCACAGGGTAACTTGATTTCTAGGTGCTCCACCACTGGCCTAGGTGTCTGTGTGAAATATAAAATCCAAATGTTCTTATGTAATTCATATAGATCATATACTCCTAGGAACCATGTGCCTTAATGAAAATAAGCCTTGGTAATGGAAGTACAGATCCACCTGGCTTATGCCTTCAATATAATGACCTCTGGAAAAGCCCTGGAAGAATATGCTCTGGTTTTTGGCACTCAGCCTGTAAGATTCTTCCCTTATTCCCTAACCTGAGGCATAGGACGGGGACTTCCTAGGGCCCTTGCGTTCTGATTGATAATACCTGCTATACGTCTAGTGCCATGGTATGTCCTGAAGTCACCACGGTTAAGATACACTTTGGTGCATGTTTTAATGACAACACATAAATACCTCATCAGAGCACTGGTTTTAGTAAGTCTTACATTAGAAAAATGAGAAATTTCTGCTGAGAGAGCACAGAAAACTGGTAACAGAAGAAAGTCAGGCATGGTTTCACAGAGAGGTGACATTGGAACTCATCCTTGAAAAGCAGAGATTTGCCTGCTGAATGTCAGATGAGGGTGGGAGAGAAGGGATGGCAAAGCCTGTCCAGCCACAGAACAGTTTGGGTAAAATCACAGGGGGCATGGCACAAGAGAGACGGGTTTACTCGGCATGGGGCACGTTGGGGGCAATGGCAGATGGTGAGGCCAGGGATGGTGGACAAGGGTCAGATCATGAGGGACAGGCTGAGGCATTTGAACCTTATCTTGTAGGGGTGAAGAACTACTAAGGATTTTAAGCAGATGAATGAAACAGTCAGATTTGCATTCAGAGAAACCTCTGGCTACAGTTGGGAGAATAGATAGGGGGTGTGGGAGAACAGTTGGGAATGTGTTGTAGAAGTCAGAGTTATTTTGACAGGAGGTGATGTGGAGGGTGGGACATGGTGGGGGGGCAGAGAGGGAGGACAGGTAGAAGCCTTTAAAAAAAGAAACCAACACCATTACAGGCTCCCCTAAGGGTAGATGGTGCTCTGATAAGTGGGCGGGGTTGTCAAGTCGGCTTTTCCTCATGTAGAAAATGGGAACAATTATCCTTACCCTTCCTGGCTTAAAAGGTTACTGAAATGACATGAAACATAATCTGTATTTAATAGTATTTTTATAATGATTTTCATCCACAGAACAAATACCATGAGGTTGAGTGATATGAAATTGCCTCTTTTATGGCCAAAAAAAAAAAATCAAATATCAGAAATTTCATATGATTCAACCTAGTAGTTTTTGACATTTTTCCTGTTACTTCCTGCCTCCTTTTTGGCCATATCATTGCCCCCTCCCCCACCACCACCTTTTTTAAGACGAGCAATACATTTCATCAAGGGGATTTCCAGGAATTCTGGGGAGACAGGAGTATAAAGTATACAGGCTTTGGAGTCAAACCCAGAATCAGATTTTTCTCTGTAATTGATGAACAGTGATCTTGGCCTAGTCAGTCCGTTTTAGCCTTCTTTTATTTTTCCCATCTGGAAAATAGAAACAATGCCTGCCTTGCCGTGTTACTAAATGAGAGAAGTCACGCCTTGTGAGGGTGTGGCATGTACAAGGTGTTGAATAAAAGTTAGTCTCAACCGCCACCCCCCCCACCCTTTCTCATTTTCCCTACTTGTTCACAGAAGGCTTGGCATAGAACCCTAGTTAGCAGCTTTCTTGTGGCCCAGAAAAGCTGAGTTAAGAGCTGCATACCGGGGATTTGAGTGTCAGAAATGTTCAGCTGTCATAATAACTTCAAGCCAAAACCTTTTAAACTAGTGACCATTTAAATAATCAAACTTGATTCCATGGAATTGCTTTAGTGCACAATTTGTGTCAAGTTTTTCCAGAATGCCACAAGTCTAATCACTTTCCACATCATTCAGGAAGTTACTCATTTAGCCTTTCCAATAAACTCATCCATACAGACTGTGTCATGCTCCCCTGGTGGTGTCATCACCTTTTTTTTTTTTTTTAATGTGATAACTGCTTTTTGCAAAAGGAAAAAAAAAGTATTAGTATTCATTTCCTTATATTCATGACTCTGAATCCAACCCAAAAGATGAAGTCACAATTGCCGACCCTCCACACTCCCGGGTCTCAATAGCACAACTGGATTTCTGCCTCAGTTTCCCTGCTGAACATTTTCCCTTATGAGGAGTTCTGACGGTGCATTAATTCAGTGGGGTTTTTTTTTTCTTATTGAGCTTATTGCAAGCACCATTCTTGTCCCAGCATGTATATGGTGAACAAGACAGACAAAATCTTTACACTCTAGAGCTTATATTTTTATGACAACAATCAAATATTTTCAGAGTGGGTGAGTGCTATGCAGGAACTAAATAGGCTAATGGGACAGATAGTGCTGGTATCAGATAGAGGGTAACAGGGTTGACAGGGAAGTGAGACAGGAACAAGGCCCTGAGGTGGAAATGAGTTTGGCATATTTGAGGAACAGAATGGCTGGGATTCTTTCTCCTTTTCTTGACAGAGGGATAAAGTGGTAGAAGATGCAGTAGGAAAGTTAGGGAGCAGATAAACATTACTCTCTGAGCTTTGACCTCCAGCTTCCCTGGAGGGTTGGATTCTGTAGATAGCCACAGCCTTGGACCTTCCTTTAAACTCGATGTATGCCGTCCAGAAGAATTCTGTAACTGCTCTTCTGACCCCATCGCTGTTGCATGGAGCCTGGCCGCCTTGCCCTTCCCCTTGCATTTGACCCTGACTGAAATCAAGTCAGAATCCTTGGTTCTCTGGTAAGTATGGCCTTTTTTCACTTAAAACTTAATCACTACTAAGTAATGTCTGCTCATGAAGATGGAAAATGGAAGTAAGGCAAAATTTAAAAATTATCCACAAACCATCCAAAAATAAATACGGGTAAATACTGGTTATCATTTTGGTATATGTCATTTCAGATATGTATTCATTTATACATATATATACTTTTTTAATCAAAATATCACAATATGACTTTCTTATTCAATGATATAAACTTCTATATCAACAAGTCAGTGTCTGCTTCCATGTTACTTTAATTTGTCATGCCGGTGATCTACCACAGCAGTTAATACATGTTAAGAACACTGGTGATTTTACATCCTTTCTGAGGTAAAGAATAGCTAAGTGACTTACTTACCTCAACACGGGTAATAAGTAACAGTGCTGAAGCAGAAATGACGTTTCCTACACATCTGCTGTGGGCTAGGCATAGTGCGAGCCCCAACACGGAGATAACTTCTCATATTCCCTTAAACCTCACAGGTTAGAACCCCGTAGCCCTTCAGTGACCCCAGTGGGAGAAAGGCATCTGGACGTCCACACCCAAGATGGTACGTAGCATGTACAGAAATCAGGGTGCAATTAGGAAGGGAGAGGTGGGTGCTGGACAACCTAAGCTGACAGTCTTTATTCTCTTGCCTCAGGCTACAGTCCAGTCTCATGTTCTGCTGCCCCTCCAAGGTGGCTCCCCCACCCCGAGCCCCTCATCTCTTACCTTCTCTGAGGTTCATCTATAAAATGGGTATACCCATCTATAATATGGTTTTTATTATTGTTGGCTGTTAAATAGGAATAAGGCCCAGCCCTGGGCGGCCAAGTTCCCAGGAATAAGGTGGGTCCCCACCAATGCCCTTTAAAAAAGGGAGAAGGGAAGTGTCAGTGCTTGGGACCCGAGGGCATTGAGGAAGAAGGGAGCCAGCTAGGATCTGTTTTTCCTTACTGTTATTGAAGGAAATAGTGAGGGGGAAAAGGAGATGGGGGCGGGCCCTCCAGCAACCTCTTTCAGATGTGACATGATAATGGGCTGTGTGACAAGTAATGATTCCTTTAAAGCTCTGCTGGTTTCCTGGGGAAGTTGCTCACGCATTGACCCACTGAGCTGCCATTGGTTTCCACATAAGGCAGGGCTGGCAGCCAATAACGGGCATCACCAGACAGTGGGGAAAAGGCTAGGAAGCAGAGACTGAAGCAGGATGCCTCATATCTAGGGTCTCTGAGCTGTGCATTTGCACCCTGACAGTAAGTTGTTGACAGCAACCAAAGAGACTGAGCAAGTGTTGTTCCCATGGCAGCCAGGCCCTTAATAGAAGCAAAGAGAATAAGCTTCTGTGTGGGACCAAAGAGGCTTCTTTTCCTTTTGTCCAAAGAGCACTGGGGAGGTGGCACATACTCGCATGTCTATGGCCCTGGGTTCTATGTAGTTGGGTCTCTACCACTCACTCCCTGGGAGTGGAATATCTCTCCTCTTCTTGGGCTTCATCTTCCATTACGAAGCTGGCTCAGGCTCTCCCTAATTGTTCTTTTCCCCATGCTCACACAACACTCTATTCCACTATGATACCACATGGCACAGCTTAGCACATTACATTGTTGGTCTCCTCTGTTAGACTGTGAACTCCAGAGCTAGGGACTGTGTCTGACTCAGCTTCCTATCATCCCATTGCCCAGCTCAGTAACCGACGTGGGGTTAGCATGCAGTAAGGTTTCTTGAATAAATGAACCTGTAAAGTGGAGATGGCATTTGCATGCCTTTGTCCCAGGACTGTTCTAAACTTGGAGTCAAGCGTTAACAACTTCTGTCTAAATGCTACCATTCGCTCACTGTGCAGTAATGATAATAAGAATTCACATGTGGACAACACTTTCGAGTTCATGATGCAGTTTTGCATCTATTATCTATTTGATCCTCACACTGAGCCAGTTACCACTTTATCATTTCACAGATGGGAAAACTGAGCTCAGAGAGGTGAAGTGATTGGTTAAGGTTGCTCAGCAAGTAAGTGAGGGGGCCAGAAATGGAACTCTGACCTCTGACTCAGAGCCTGTCTTCTCTCTATTCCATATTGTTACTTCCACTGCTGGAACACCCTTGATCCATTATAAAACAAGCAAACAGAAACCTCTCCATTATGAACTTTAAGTTCATGGCAGATTACTGCCTTCACCTCCTGCCTAATGGAAACTTGGCTGTCCCTCAAGGCCACGTTTCTTTCTTTTTTTTTTTTTTTAAGATTTTATTTATTTATTTAACAGAGAGAGGCACAGCAAGAGAGGGAACACAAGCAGGGGGAGTGGGAGAGGGAGAAGCAGGCTTCCTGCCGAGCAGGGAGCCCGATGCGGGACCCGATCCAGGGACTCCAGGATCATGACCTGAGCCGAAGGCAGTCGCTTAACCAACTGAGCCACCCAGGCGCCCAAGGCCACGTTTCTATATTCTCTTCCAACCTCGTGACTAGAAGCTGCCTCTGCTCACATATTCCCCTGGGGCCTCCCTTGGCTGTCCTGCCATTCCCTGTCGATGCTAACCTACCCCTACACTTCTACCACATGCAAGTTTACTTCCCCTTTGGGGCTTATGCTATCTAGCTCAACCCATCAGACCCTTGTCCTGGGGTCTTGACTCTTGAATGAGTGAGCCAAGAATGGAGGGGCATGACGGGCGGGCCTGTCCCTGAGGCACATGCCACCTTCCACACTATCTTTGTGGGAGCTGTTGTTTGACTGCCTTGGTCCCTAGAGTCTTCTCCACTTCAAGTCCTGCCATCACCCAGGAGTCCTCACTGTGTGGATCCATTTACCAGCCTGGTCTCTTTGTTCCTTCATGTCGGCAGCAACAGTAACCCTTGCCTCAGACCAACGGCTATACCTTGGACCTTCTCAGGACCTGGAACCACTACTCCACCTGAGAGATCTTGAGGCCTGGCGCACTGCATCTCTGACGTCATCCCCTGGCTCTCAGCTCTCTCACTCTTTCACTCCGCTGGGCCTGCTCCTGGACACCCTGGTTAGCACCAGGCCTTCGGCCTCACTGTTTTCTTCCAAGTCCATCACTCCCCTTATGATTTCTCTTCCTTCCCCATTGGCCTCGACCTTTAGGGCAGCACGAAAACCAGCATCATCCTCTTTCTGCCACACCCATTCTGAAAAGTTTAAACTTTGTATCCATCCAACCTCTGCCTTCTCCCCCTCTACGCTTGGGCAGCTGAACACAACCATGCAGACTGGCTTGAAAGCAACTCTGTGGTCATCCTTGACTGGGCCCTCATAGCCATTGCCATCTTGGTCATCTCTGCACAAGAGGTACAAATTCATTGACTGACGAAACTGATTCACCCCTCCATCCGTTGGACAAATATTTATCAACTGTTCTATGCCAGTCAATGTGCTACACGTTAAACACAGTACAGAAACCGGTCTGTGGACACAGTGCCTGCCTTCACGGGGGAGAGAGGCCTGTCCACTGAGTGCGGACATGGAATCACAGTTGTGAAGAGCACTGTAAAGGGAATAATCCCAAGTATGGTAACAGCACACAGTAGGAAGACCTACTACCCTAGTCCGCTGGGTCAGAGAAGGCCCCCCCTGAGACACTGACTCTTAATTTCAGGCCTAAAGGAAGGGTTCAGATTGCTAAGTGAGAGCCGTGGTGGTGGAGTGGAAGGGCTTTCGAGGTGGAGGAAAGAGTCTCTGTGAAGGTCCTAGGGCAGGCAGGAGGAAGGAAATGAAAGGCGGTCCTGTGACAGGGTATAGAGGGCACTGAGGGCAAGGTTGGAGAAGTCAACATGAGCCAGATCTTGGGGGCACTTTAAGGATTTTGAACCAGTTTTATGCAGAGGATGGCATCATCTGATTTGCCCTGTCTTTTAAAAAGGGTCAACCCATTTGTAGTACATTGGAAAAGTTGAATAAGTCAACCAGATAAGCTGTTGTCTGTCTATTCAATGACTGATGGCTTCGTGGAGACAGATTGGAGAATCTTCTTTAAACTCCAAAAGGCCCATAACTCACTTCTGATCCCTCCCACCACCACCACCACCACTACCACCATGTTTGGCAATTGACTTGCTTCCTACTTCTTAGGAAACTAAAAATATCAGCTGTGAACATCCTCAGTTTCCTGCCTCTACACCCACACATTTACCTAACTGCACTTCCTTCACTTCCTTCCTGCCCATCTCAGAGAAAGAAGACCATCCTCCTTTCTGAGGCCCATCCTTCCCTCTTCCACCTTCTCTAGGACCAATACCATGCTGCATTGCTTATTCACTCCTTGTCTTGTACACACACTCAGTGGTCTTCCATTCAGACAAACAAAAATCAAAACCCACTCACCTCCTATCACCCTAGCTACTACTTCATCTCTTTCCTTCCGTTTATAACAATTTTTATATAGCCTACTCTCCCAACGTCAGGGAGAGTGGTGCTCCCCAGATAGTCCATGGACTCTGCATATTTCCTGGCTCCTTTGACGTTAGACAGGCCGAAGTGACTAGCATCTCACTTTGGACCAAAGCATAGGGTAGCTGGCATGTGACCGTCCCATGATCTCTTCAATGGCTGAGGTAATTGTGAAGGGGGTTTTGTCTTCCAAAGTTACAACTTAAAGATGATGGAGCCCCCATCACTGTAAGTTGCTCGGTGACTGTGTACAGCAGTCCCCCAACACGTGAATTTTTGCTGTGTTAAGTCATGGAGGTTTGGGCGGTTGTTCATTACTACGGCATAGCCTAGCCTAACTAACACATTTAGTCTCTACTTCCTCCCCTCTGTGCACTTTTTAAAAAAGAATTACATTATTTCTGACCTCCTTTTAGTCCTCAGAATCCTCTCTATTGACATTTTACTCAGGCAAATGCCACTACAATTCTTCTATTGCTAAATCACCTAATTTGATTTCCCCTTGTTTTTTTATGACCTATTTGATACATTTCTCTCACTCTATCAAAGTAGAATCAAATGGCTTTTATCAAGTCAAACCCCCATTTAAAAGACTTCTATGGCTTCCAGAATCAAAGCTTATTAAACTGACATTTGAGATCCTCAGTGATTTACCTTGTCCTATTCTCCTTTACACAGCCTACACATTACTCAGTACAGCCTTGATGAGCTCCTTCTCCTCTTTGACCTTCATCATGCTGTTCCCTGCACCTGTCACATGTTTCGGTCCCGGTTTCTCCTGTCAAGTAATTTAGACATGTGTGCAAAGATGCTGGCATAAGGACTGTTTATAAGAGCAAAATTTTGGAAATGATCTAAATGTCCATCTCTAGGTGATGACTTAAACAGGTTATGGTAAGTTCATGCAATAATAATATGAAGACGATAATGATGATGTGCAGTCATTGAAGTTGTTCACAATTTATTAAGTCTATAAAACAGTGAGCTGGTATACATTGTATCATATTTGTTAAAATACATAGGAAATATCTGGAGGAATGTACATCAAAATGTTAATGGTCACAAATGAAAAAAATAGATAAGTTGGATTTCATCAAAACTTAAAACTTTTGTGCTTCAAGGGTCACCATCAAGAGAGTGAAAAGACAGCCCACAGAATATTAGGAAACTTACAAATCATACATCTGATAAGGTACTTCTATCCAGAAAATATAAAAAACTCTTACACTCAATAAATAAAAAGACAAATTACCCAGTTAAAAAATGGGCAAAGGATCTAAATAGACATTTCTCCAAAAAAGATATACAAATGGCCAATCAGCACATGAAAAGATGTCCAACATCATTAAACATCAAGGAAATGCAAAACAAAACCACAATGAGATACCACTTCACACCCACTACGATATCCTTGATCAAAAAGACAGATCATAACAAGTGTTAAGGATGTGGAGAAACTGGAGTCCTCGTACACTGCTGGTGGGAATGTAAAATGGTGCTGTGGGTTTGGAAAACAGTCTGGAAGTTCCTCAAAAGGTGAAACATCACGTCACCGTATGACCCAGTGACTCCACTCCTAGGTGTAAGTCCAAGAGAAATGAAAACACATCCACACAAAAATGTGTACATGAATATTCACAGCAACATTATTAATAGCTAAAGAGTGGAAATAACCTAAATGTCCATCAACATGATAAGCAAAATATGGCATACCCATGCAATGGAATATTATTCTGCAATGAAAAGAAATAAAGTCCTGATAAGTGGTATGACTTGGATGAACCTTGACAACATTATGCTAACTGAAAGAAACCAGTCACAAAAGACCACAGATTGCATGCTTCCATTCATATGAAAGGTCCAGAATAGGTATATCTATAGAGACAAAGTAGATTCGTGGTTGCCTAGGGCTGAGGTGGGGAGGGGATTGAGAGGAAATAGGAATTGACTGCCAATGGGTGTAAGATTTCTTTTGGAGTGATGGAAATGTTCTAAAATTGATTGTGATGATGGTTGCCCAACTCTGAATATACTAAAAACCATTAAATTATATACATTAAATGGGTGAATTGTATGGCATGTAAATTATATCTCAATAAACCTGCTTTTTAAAAAAAGATTTTATTTATTTATTTGACAGAGAGCTAGAGAGAGAGAACAAGTAGGCAGAGAGGCAGGCAGAGGGAGAGGGAGAAGCAGGCTCCCCGCTGAGCAGGGAGCCTGATGCGGGGCTCCATCCCAGGACCCTGGGATCGTGACCTGAGCCGAAGGCAGTCGCTTAACCGACTGAACCACCCAGGCGCCCCACAATAAACCTGCTTTAATTTAAAATCGTTAATGGTGTTGTTTTTATAAAGCTTGGAAAGGAGTAGCAGCATTAATAAGGAAAGGGGGAGATGGGTTTATAAGAAATGAATGCACAACTCTGGCTTAAGCAAAAGAAAATGTGTGTATGTGAGGAATTTATTGGAAGGATACTGGGGAGTAGTTCATAAACTCCAGTGAATTACTGAATAACTAAAGCCTGGTAGGGAAGGAATGAGGACAGCCCTGGGAAGTTTGGTAGTAGGAACTCATGGGACTTCTCTCTAGAATGCTGCTGTTAGTATGACTCAACTCTAGTGACTCCTAGCCTCAGGAGTCTCTATTCCAAGTTTCAAACTCCCAGGAGAGAGTATCCATTGTCTCCGTGAGGATTAGGTGTCTCCCCTTGCATTAGTCAGCTCTGGGTGAGGGGAACAGGATCGAATGGCAAGGACCTGATTGCAGGAGGCCTCTGCTTGTGTATCTGATTCACTGGGACAGTAAAAGGAATGGCTGTGAGTGGAACAGATAAACAGACACAAGAAATAATTACTACAATTACTTTTTTTTTTTTAAGATTTTTTTTTTATTTATTTGACAGCGAGAGACACAGCAAGAGAGGGAACACAAGCAGGGGGAGTGGGAGAGGGAGAAGCAGGCTTCCCGCAGAGCAAGGAGCCTGATGCGGGGCTCGATCCCAGGACCCTGGGATCATGACCTGAGCCAAAGGCAGATGCTTAACAACTGAGCCACCCAGGCACCCCTACTACAATTACGTTTTAAAAACAGTGTGTATAAGACGACTCATTTTCTTCTTAAAAATTTATGTCATGTGCGAATGAAAACAGGGGCCACGTAGGTGACCTATGAGTGTTGCAAGCAGGTGTAAGGCCATAGAGCATGCTGGGAACTGTGGCAAACTAGAGAGAGGGTCCTACATTTAAAGCAAGCAGATGCAACTCCATTCCAGTTGGTTTTGTCCTTCAGGAATGCAAGTGCACTGTTGCTAGATCTCTGGATTTCCTAAGCAAAGCCAAACACTTGATCTTTATGTCAAATTTCCTGAGTTTACAACCCTCTGGGGCCAAACAAAAATCTCTATGGGCTGTGTGCATCTGCAGATTTCCGGTTTGCAACTTCTGATATATATATATTTGTATATATAAATAGTGCTTAGACAGACTTGAGTTTCTTCTGGCTGTGTGATCTTGGATAATCAAGTTATTTCCCCTCTAACACATAAAATGGGGACAATAGTCCAAACCTTCGGAGTTGCATCCATGAATTAACACAAAGTGTTCAAGAGCTTTCAGTTAAAGATGGTGGATTGAATGCATACATATAATTTTGCTCCTTCCTGAAAACCCATTAAAACCACAGTAAAAGGATTTAGAGAAGCAGGGATTCACCAGGATAGGGGAGAAAAGAGAGGAGACAGGAGCAATAAAATTTTGGAATCTGGAAAGCAGATGGACAAGTAACTGACTTGGCAGATCTAAGAAACAAAATCTTATACATAAAGAGGGAAAAGCAGAGAACCAATCTGATCTATACTACGGAATTGTCAAAAAAGCTTAGGAACTGAGGACAAAGAAGATGGAAACTAAATTCAGGAAAATCTAGTGAACACTGTTTAAGAAATAGATTTTTACTGTCCTTCATATTTTATTCCCCTGAGTGACTATCCCTTCTCTACTCCAGCAGAAGACTGAAGGGTTATTCTCTAGAAAGAATAAACAAGAGAGGTGTGCCTGGTTGGCTCAGTTGGTAAAGTGTCCGGCTCTTGATATCAGCTCAGGTCTGGATCTCAGAGTTGAGAGTTCAAGCCCTGCATTGGGCTCCACGCCGTGGAGGCTACTTAAAAAAAAAATTAAAATTAAAATTAAAAATTAAAAAAATAGAAAAAGAGAGAATCCCTTTATTAAGGGATAAATGGCCCATCTATGGACTAATAACTATATGTCTACTAAAGGCTGAATGCCGAGACCTCCCAGCCCTCTTCCCCTTCCTGGATCCCAGAATACAAGCAGCCAGGCATCTATCCTCCAGACATGACTTAAACATTTTTTGGAGGATCTAATCAACCAAACAGGAAATATATAGAACATACTGACTTCAGGGGGTTCTTTAACAAATGGCCAGAGATCATTCCACAGTGAAATTCCAAACCAACAAACTTTGCCCATGTGCTCAATGCTTCTAATCAATGTTTAGTGTCCCTTCTTCAACAAGAGCAAAGATTAACAGACATCTGAGTAAAACTTGTAACAAGAAAGAAAAGACCAAACAAACAAGCAGATAAAAGTAATTTGGAGGAAAGAAAGATAATGCAGGAAAAGGAAAATCTCTAAATCACTATCATTAATATACTCAAAGAGACAAGAGAAGGTCTTTCCTTGCTATTTTTAAATAAAGGAACATGCAGAGTCAAAACAGAGCCTGTAGAAAATGAAAACCATAATAAAGAAATGAAAAATTCAATAGGAAGATTGGAAGTTAAAATTGAAGAAGTCTCCCAGAAACTAAGGGGAAAATTCAGAGATGAAAAGTGGGCCGTGTTCCTGCTTTCCTCTGTCTTCTTAAACATATGAAATATATTTATAGTCTCTGTTTTATTTTTCTTGTCTTCTAATTCTAGCGTCAGTGCTATTAGGAGTCTGTTTCTATAGATTGATTTTTCTTCCCATTATGGATCTTCCTGCTTCTTTGCTTGTCTGGTGAGTTTGATTTGATGCCAGACGTTGTGAACTTTACATGGCTGAGCAATGGACTTTTTTATTCCTTTATTATTTGGAGCTTTGTTCTAGGATTGAGTCAACTTACTTGGAAAGAGTTTGATCCTTTTGAGGTTGCTTTAGGAGCAAGGGTCTAGTTTAGGGGTAATTTGACTCCATTATGAGGCCATATGCTTTTGGGTATGGTACTCTCCCCATGCCCAGCACATTATGAGGTCCCTTCACTCTGGTTGTTGGGAATATAAACTCTTTCCAACCTTGTGTGAGCTCCAAGAATTGTTCCACCTGCTTCTTTCAAGTACTCTTTCCCCAGCCTCAAGCAGCTTCTTCAAATGCATACAATTACCAGGACTCGGTTGAAGCCTTCAAGAGGATTTTCTGTGGACCTCCAGAGTTCTCTCTGTGCAACTCTGTCCTGTCTGGTACTCTGCCCTGTGAATTCTAGCCATCTCTATCTCCCTGAACAACCAGTTACCTCTGTCTGTTCAACACAGGGAATCTGCCAGTTCTGCCTAGGTTGCCCCTCCACGCACTGCAGCCTGGAAATTCTCTCCAGACAGTAATGTGCTACAGAACTTGGACACATCGTATTTTTTCTCCCACTTTTCTGGGATCTGCGCCCTGTGCTGCCTATTGCCCAAGATCTGAAAGCAGTTATTTCATATACTTTTGCCTGTTCTTTTTTTTTTAAGATTTTATTGATTTATTTGACAGAGAGAGACAGTGAGAGAGGGAACACAAGCAGGGGGAGTGGGAGAGGGAGAAGCAGGCTTCCCAATGAGCAGGGAGCCTGATGTGGGGCTCGATCCCAGGACCCTGGGATCACGACCTGAGCCGAAGGCAGACGCTTAACGACTGAGCCACCCAGGCGCCCCTTTTGCCGGGTTTTATAAATTGTTTTAGACAGGAGGTTAAATCCAGTGTCTGCTACTCCATCCTGGCTGAAAGTGGAAGTCCCCTATTCCAATAACTCCCACAATTTCCCCAGGTATTCTCACTCATTGTTCAAATTTAGTACACACTCGTTGGATTGGGCTGGGAATATTTAGATGGCAACCATAAAAAAGAGTATTAAAAAACTCCCATAATTCCCTAGAGTAGTAACTCTGGTTAGTGTTTGTGTATTTCATTTCTCCTTCCAGGCTTCTATCTTTTGGTTTTGCATGGTTTTTACATCTGTCTTCAACTTACTTCACCTTTTTCTACCCTTTGACACTAATGACCACTCCCTCATTTAAAAAATTTTGTTTGCTGTTAATTTCCAGGAAATGCCTCTTTCCTGGTGTCATTTCTTTTTTTTTTTTAATGAAGCTTTTAATTTTAATCCCATTATAGTTAACATACAGTGTTATATTAGTTTCAGGTGTACAATATAATGATTCAACACCTCCATACATCACCCATGCTCATTACAGCAAGTGCGCTCCTTAATCCCCATCACCTGTTTCACCCATCCCCTCGCCCGCCTCCCTTCTGACAACCATCAGTTTGTTCTCTATAGTTAAGAATCTGTTTCTTGGTTTGTCTCTCTCTCTTTTTTCTTCCCTTTGCTCATTTGTTTTGTTTCTTAAATTCTATGAATGAGTGAGATCATATGGCATTTGTCTTTCTCTGACATATTTTGCTTAGCATTATAGTCTCTAGCTCCATCCATCAATGTTGTTGCAAATGGCAGGAGTTCGTTCTTTTTTATGACTGAATAATATTCCAGTGTGTGTGTGTGTGTGTGTGTGTGTGTGTGTGTATACCATCCTGTCATTTCCATCCTTCCAAACCCTACAAATCCTCCCTCTGTCTCCTTCACTGATTCCTCTCCCTTCGTGTACCCTTAAATGTTCACTGCTTTCTTGCTTCTCTTCTCACTCCATATCTACATTCTCCCTGCATGATCTCATTTATTACCCATTACTTGAGTTATCATTCACCTGCTTACAACTCAAACTTATGTTTCCAAATCTCTCTCCCGAGTACTCCGGACCTAAAGAGCCAATGGCCTAATGTACATCTCTAGTTGGATGTCTCACAGTGTGTCCCAAACAGAACTCATTATCTTCCCCAACGACCTAATCTGTATGTTGGTTCCATCACAGGGAATGGTGCTAAGATCCACCTTTCTTCCCAAGCTAGAATTACAGAAGCCATGCTCAA